ATCTAGAAACCATCTCCTCCAACTCCATGGAAAGAAATTCGTAATGGGACAGGTTTTGGGGCCACATGCCATCCGCATGCTTATCAAGCTGCCGTTCAACCAGCACCTAATGAAGACTGCTTGACGCTAAATATTATTCGACCAAAGAAGGAGGTAAATCGGCCACATTTTTTTCCACGAAGTTGGGGAGAGAGGGGGGAGAAGAACTCTAAATTAACTGCGCTGAGTGGCCCTGTCTTCAGAATAAACTTTACAAGATCGTATAATTTTGGAAGTATCAGAAATCGAGCAAATAACTTTTTTACAGCACTAAATTTCAGTTCTTAAGAATTTATATTATCCACAATGCCTTCAGACAGAACAAGTCGTAATTTATAAGAATTTATAACCGTATATACACAGTGGTCGGTTCAAAATCAGAAATTGAAATTTCGGTTGACTTTTAAAATTTTGTAATTTTGGACTTGACCAATTTGAAAAAAACCTTACATTTTCTCCCGGATTGTTCTTCTTGTTCTTCAATCTTTGTAGAAGTCATGAAACTAAAAGTAGACCCTTTGTTTGATAGCATTGTCTTCGAAAACAACTTCAGCATTCTTAGGCACCGCAAAACGGCTTTCCCATTCTGGTTTGGGTACATGGCGGTGGCTATGAGACTGATTCGGCAAGTCTTTATGGGTACAAAGGATTTGCTGACATATACATACCTCATGACATCATTGTTGTTACCATACAGTATCGCCTTGGAGTATATGGTAAGCATACTATAGCAAGCGTCGCAAAGGTCACTGTTAACTTCTGATCTAGGTTTCTTTTCCACTGGTGACTCACGTATACCCGGTAATCTCGGATTGTTCGATATGGCAGCAGCTTTCAAGGTATGCTGTAAATCATCTTTACGTCTGTGTATATGTTTCGTGTATTTTCAGTTCATTTACGATAATGCAGAGAACTTTGGTGGTGATCGCTCACGTATTACTGCTTGGGGTTTGAGTGCAGGAGGTAGTGCTGTTGGCCAGCTGGCTCTTAGTCCCATTACAAGAGGTAAGATTATAGAACAATTCAGGATGTTTATGCAGGATAGGGAGCGGTTTACCGCGCTTTGGAAGTTTTTCCGGTTTACTTGTGCTTTAAGTCACTTTAATAAG